TACTTGAGAAGATAGGCCAAACTTTCTTCATAATCACATAACTGACTTTAATAAAGATTGACTGAAGTTTCCTCTCCGACACAATCATGGCCAGGTTGGCGGAGGATCTATGATTCTCTCTCTCTCTCTCTCTCTCTCTCTCTCTCTCTCTCTCTCTCTCTCTCTCCTCCTCCTCTCTCTCTCTCTCTCTCTCTCTCTCTCTTCTCTCTCTCTCTCTCTCTCTCTCTTCTCTCTCTCTCTCTCTCTCCTCTCTCTCCTCTCTCTCTCTCTCTCTCTCTCTCTCTCTCTCTCTCTCCTCTTCTCCTCTCCTCCTCCCTCCTCCCTCCCCTCTCCTCCTCCCTCCTCCCTCCTTCCTCTTCCTCTCTCTCTCTCTCTCTCTCCTCTGCCTGTGTGTGTGTGTTTGTCTGTTTCTTTTTCTTATCATTTTCCAGCGAGTGTTTCCTTAATAATAGCTCTCAGTGACTACCAGAACTCTGACCATAGACAAAGTGCAGATCCCTCGTCAAAAGTGCAAAATAACTGACCCTTAGCAAAATCTGCCCATACCCGCGCATGCCAATGACATTAAGGCCGACGAGGGAATATTTCGGTCATATTTTTTTCGTCGTATCTCGCGCCCTTTCTGCGCCCACGCCCTGCTGCCCTGCGAAGTGCCTGCGCCCATCACCCTGCCGCAGCTCGCACGAACGGAGACGAAAAGGGAGGCGATGGAGAAAAATCGGCGCGATAAACGACTAAACGGCAACCGGAGAGCGAAGTTCTTGTTTTCTCGTTCCAGACTCTCACTTGTTTGAAGTTTCCGCCACCACATTCCTCGGTGACGTCATGAGTTGCCAGTTAGGTAAGTTTACACACCACAACAGTTTGCCCTCAAGTCGCCTACGGTACTATGATTTTTTTTTCTCTCTTTCTCTTTATATTCTCTCTCTCTCTCTCTCTCTCTCTCTCTCTCTCTCTCTCTCTCTCTCTCTCTCTCTCTCTCTCTCTCTCTCTCTCTCTCTCTCTCTCTCTCTCCATTCTCTCCTTCTTTCTCTCTCTTCTTTTCTTTCTTTTCCCTCTCCTTTCTCCCTCTTTCTTCTCTCCTCACTTCATTCTCTTCTCTCTCTCTCTCTCTCTCTGTCTCTCTTCTCTCTCTCTCTCTCTTCTCTCTCTCATCTCTCTTCCTCTCTTCTCCATCTCATCTCTTCTCTCACACAACACACACCAGACACACACATGGAAACAACAGGCACACAACACAAACAACACACACACACACACACACACACACACACACACACACACATTCTACTCTAGCTCTTCCTCTCTCTCTTTCTCTCAAATATTCCTCCGTGTGTGCACTGTTTGCTCTACGTCTGGCGAATCGGTATGGCATAGGTACGATGCCGGTGTGGCTGTTGAATTCCAGAGCTAAAGTATATTATATTATCAGGTATAACGGCGAGAGAATTTCAACTGGTCTTGTGGAGCTCTTGTGCTATGCTATAGTACAGTGGAGTATGTTATGAACAGGATGTATATACACTGCGTTTGTGTCTGTGTTAGAGTGCGTCTTTGTGTGTGTGGATGTGTGTTTTCTTTTACGTCTGTGTGAGTGTAATGCTGTATTCCTGGTGTTTTTGAAATGTATTTGTAATGCGTGCTTTTGTTTTCCTATTTTATTAAAGTCTCGCAATTACTTTGGACAGATAATAATATATATCGGCGACAGAAGTTATGTCTCGATCTTTAGAGAGATGCTCATGATAGCCTTCTTTCCGGCAACTGACGTAGGAATTCTGTTTGGATTATGTATTCTTCCTCTGTCTCTATTTTTTCTGCCTTTCTTTCCTTACTCTTCTGGCTTTTTTTTTTTTTGCCTACTATCTCCTTCTCTTCTTTATATAACCTGTCTTCTTGTTCCTTCTTCCAATCTTCTTACAAACATCTACCTTCTGTTTTGTTGTTTTTTGTTTTTCATTTCCCTTCGTATTTCATTTTCTCAACCCCTCTCTCTATTCCCTTCATTCTTCCTCGTCTCTTTCCTTACTTCAAAACCCTTCTCCCTTCCTTCTCCCTCTCCCCTAACTCCCTCCCCTCCCCTCCTCTCTCCTCCCTGCCTCCTCCCCCCCTCCCCCTCTCCTCACACTCACATCCTTCCCTCATTCCCTTCCCTTTTCTCTCTCTTTTTTTCGTGAAAGCGGGAAGGATGCTTGTGTGTTGCTAGAGATTAGTTCCCACTCCGGTCACGAATGTTTGTAGATGTCGCCACTTGACCTTCTGCGCCCAGTCGCGACGAAGCATATCCCACATCTGGGTTTTATGTCGTCTCTTGCAGTCGACGAGGGGAATTTCATAGATTGGTCCTTCCTCGGCGTCTGTCTGTCTATCTGCATATGTATTTATGTATATTTTATGCATTTATGTAGACAATGCATACGTATTTTTTCATGGGTAAGAATGGGATAGGGTCGTTGAGTGGGGGATGTTTGGGTCGCACGAAGCGTCCTCTGGCAAATCG